AGTCCTAGCTTAAATAATCCTCCTGTTTTTTTAATATTAAAAAAGACTTAAGGCTAAAGGCATTAACTATAATTAGCTTAATCTTTAGGCCTAATACCTTTATACCTGCGCTACTAGCTATAATACTATCTTTTAAACTGCTGTATTATTAAGCTATATTATATATTAGTCTTAATTTTTAACTAGTCTGCAGTAGTATATAAACTTTTTATTTATAAATATTAATATTACTTAATAGTATAAAAATACTAAAGACTACTTTATTTTTATAGTCCTTATTTATTTAACTAGGGGTTAATTAGCTAGCTAAGTTTAAGCTATTAGTCTTATTATTTTTATTCTCTTAAACTTTTTAAAACCTTTAGCTACTTTATATAAATTTTAAAAAGTATTGCTATTTAGGCTGTATTAAATTACTATCTAAGCTATAGTTCTACCTAACTAAGCCTAATTAAGCTAAGTTCTAACCTCTTAGCCTACTTTATTAAAAAATAGTGTATAGCTATAGTATATAAAATAGTATATAATTCTAATATATATTATTATCTTATAAAAATAAAGCTATTATAAACCTACTTATCTAGCTAAGTAGCTAAAATAACCTCCTTAATAGCTTAGCTGCTGCTGCTATTACTACTGCTTTTATTACCTTAGCTATAGCTATAGCTGCCTTATTTACTTTAAGAACCTCTTCCCTTTATATTTACTATTATTTATAATTATTTTATAGCTTATAAAGCGCTTTAACTAGTAGCCTTAACCTTTACTGCTATACAGATGCATTTAATGCTTGCCTTAAGCCTGCTATTACCTTACTAGCTTAAGGTTAGTAAAGATAGCAGTAGTATAGGCAGTAACTATAAAGGTAATAGCTATATTAATACTATTGCTATATTTAGCTATATAATAAAACTACCCTTTAGTATTAGCTATAAAGATATATTAATTAGCGCCTTTTAATTTTAAGGAAGTTATAGTCTTCCTTATAAATTTTAAATATAGTTAGGATCTTAAATATAAAAAAAAGGCTTATACAGATTTTAAAACGCTAAGTTATTACTATTATCTTTTTAATATAAGGCAATTTTAGTATAAATATTTATATTAATATAAAATATATAAAGTTACTGCTATATATTTAGAAAAATATATTCTAGTATATTTTTTAGCATTATTTTCTTATTTATAATAATAATATAAGGCGTTAGAATATAAAGCTATTACTAAAAGGCATTTAGCTAGTTATATAGCTACTTATAGGCCTACTGCTTTTTATTATTAATAAGCCTAAAAGTAAAATTTACTACTAACTTCTAGTTTATAATACCTATAACTTAAAATAGGTATATTTAAAAGCAGTTAGTTTTATATATATTATTAAGATTAAGAACTTTAAGAAAATGCTTTTATATTTACTTATACTATAAATAGGTCTAGAAGACTATAATAACCTTCTAATCCTTATTATAAATAATAATATAGTAAAGACTATTATATTAAAAGAGGTTAATTTACTGCTATATAGCTATAAGGCCTTTAAGCTTTAACTATTAAATAGCCTATTAATTATTATAAAGGTTTTTAAAAAGGAAATATAATAGCTTTAAGCTCTAGGCCTTAATAATCTCTTTTATTTTATAAGCGCTAAAGGACTTATATTATAAAAGCATCCTCTTAGCTTTATGCTATACTAGTATATAGCAGTAATAGACTATATAGGCTAATAGATTAAGGGATGCGTTATAATTATACTAGCCTTTAATTACTTAAAAAGTCTATTTTTAGTTTATTTTCTTTACTACTATTACTATAATCTTAAATTAACAGCCATGCTTTTAAGTAGTTATTTACTTAAGGCTAGTACTAGCTGTAGGTTAAGCTATCCTTTAGTTATAAAGAAGAATATAGTATATTAAAAGCTTAATGCTATTAAACTTATAATAATTACTAGGCAACTTTTTAATAAGGGCAGCGCTATTATTATAATAAAATATCTGCAGGAAGCTAAATAGCTTATTAAAAAAGTTAAACTCTCTTTCTAGCAGCAGTAGTAAGATTAGCTATATAATAAGCTTTTTAAAATTATTAGGATTATTATTAGTAAGATTAAGGGTATTATTAATAAAGTTAGCATTAGCTTTAGCAGCAGTATTAGCTTTACTAGGGGGGTCTTAAAAACGACCGCGTTTCCCATCCCAGCTCCACTAGGACGGGGGGGTCGTTGAGTTACAAAAGGGTCGTTAATTCGCAAAAAAAAGATACATTACTTATAGTGTTATATGCTATATAACATAAAGTACCCCCAAACCACCAATTTTGCGATTTCTGAAGAAAAAAGACCATCAGGCTGCTCCTTATTATAAGGCGATTCTAAATTTAAGTGAAATGGCTTTTTTTAGAGTAGAGGTGATGGATTTGTAAAATGGTACTTTAATTTGTAGGGTATGCACACCAAGATTCAAGTATTTTGCGAATTAACGGTCCTTTTGCAAATTAACGACCCCCCCGTCCTAGTGGAGCTGGGACGGGAAACGCGGTCGTTTTTGAGACCCCCCTAGTAGTAGTAGTATTAGCTTTAGTAATAGTAGTAGTAGCAGCAGTAGTAATAGCAGCAGTAGTAATAGCAGCAGTAGTAATAGCTTTTAGATAATCCTCTTTATTAGCCATTATTATAAGATTTATCTTTAACTGCCTTAGTATTTTAGCCTATGTTATAATTCCTATAGCGCTATAGCTATACACTGTTTTTTAGTAAAGCAGGCTAGGATATAAAGAAACTTGGCTTAATTAGGCTTAGTTAGGTAGAACTATAGCCCAGATAGCAATTTAATACAGCCTAAATAGCAATACTTATTTTAAAAGCTTTATAATAGTTTAATATATTTTAAGACTAGTAATTAAGTTATTTAATAATAGTAATCTTATTTATTTTAGTTAATAAGCAGTTCTTATCTTATTTAGGTTAATTAGTTAGTGTTTATTTACTATTATATTATTATATAGTAATTTTTACTTAAAATATAACTAAAGTAGTAAGATTAATAGCTAATATAAATAAAAGTAGTAGTACTTAGTAATATTAAGTAGAAGCTAGGCTTATAATCTATTAAAAAGTATATTAATTATCTTACTTATTCTACTTTTACTAAATAGGCATATAGCTCCTACTTATGCCTTTAACTAGATTAACCCCTGCTGCCTTAATATACTAGCACTTCTTATATTAATGCCTTTATTTCTAATAATAAGAGAAATAGTATAAATTATTTAAAACAGTATTAATAAGCCTATTTATTTCTATTAGTTTAATATATATAGTAATTATTAAAGAATTAGGATTTAAGCCCTTAAAGGTTTATTAATAACCTAGGCCTAGATTAAAGAGTTATAAAAAAGTAACTTATAATATTTTATTAAAATTAATAATAAGAATAAGATTTATAAATAGTTTAAGATAATATAGTAATGCTTTTTTAAGGTTTTAAGGATTAATAATATATATAAAACTAACTAGTTTAATATATTTCTTTTTAAAATTATTAGTATTATAAATTAAAAGTTAATAGCTAACTTTACCTTTAATTTAATTAATATAAAAAATTAAAATAAATACTAGTAGCTATATAAGAAGTTAAAGGCTATTTAATAAACCCTTTATATTTTAGCGCTATTTATAATTATTATAAATAAAAAAGATGCTTTTAAAAACACTTTTAATAATATATTTCCTTTATTATAGCAGTAACTTTATATTTATTATATTAATACTAATATTTAGGCCTATATTTATATTTATTAAAAAGATAATAAAAATAAAAATAATAATAAAAAAAATAAAGTTATAAATAAAAAGATTAACTAGCTTAATAATAAGCTAGCTGCTTAAGTAATAATATAATAAAAAGCTAAAAATAAATACTTAATAATAGACTTATAACTAGCTAATAAAAAGCTAATTTATAAAGGCATATTTTATAACTAGAAGTATATAATATTTATTAATAATAAAAAGGACTTTTTATAAGCCTAGTTATTAATAAAGAAGAGATATAATAAAATAAAAGATAGTATTTTATAAATATACCTTTTTTAATATATTTTTAAGGAATATATATTTTATTATAAGTAGTAGGCTTATTACTTTATTAAGTAATACTAAAATTATAGCTAATATATTAATAATTCTATAAAGACTGCTTATAAAAATATAAAGTTATTATTTTTATTTAGTATAAGTAACCTTTTTTACTTTTATATAGTAATTATCTTTATATTAAAGTAAGAAGAAAAAAGACTATATTTAAAATATAGCTAAAATATAAATATAGCAGCAGTAGTGCTTTATTAATTAAAGCTAGCTAAGTAATATTCCTTTAACTATTAGCTATATTATTATAAAAAAGACTATATATACATATAGGTAAATATTTAATATATAGCTAGGCATAACTAATACTAAAATATCTTACCTATAAAAACACTCTTTATAAGTAATAAAGTATAGCTCTAACTGCCTATAAGAACTATCCTACTGCTTAATAATAATTTAATTTAATAACTAGGAGGTAGTGCAAATGCCTAATATACTAATAGATTTATAAAGAATAAATAGCAGAGCTTTATATTAACTACTAATAGTATATATATATTAAATAGCACTTATATATCTCTATTTATTTTATAATACTTTATAAAGTTAATTTATAACTAGCCTTAATGCCCTAAGAGATTGCAGATTTAAGTATACTGTATTTAAAATAACCTCCTTACCTACTAGGGGGGTTTTAAAAATAACTACATTTCCTATTCTAGCTCTATTAAGACAGGGGGCATGTTAATTAGTAAAGAGTAGTCCTATTTGAATAGTTAAGAATCTCTATTTGAACAGTAGTGGTCTATGCACTTACTGAATTCGCTGCGCCTACACCAGCACTTCTATAACCACACACCCCCTTACAGTATGCCCTAATGGAAATGCCTATAGCCTACACAACAACACCATGAACGTTAATTTCGCAATCTCTAATAGACTTATTATTATCATTATTATTAACCTAGAATTAAGGAGCGTGCCTGCGGCAGCAGCAGAGACAGCAGCAGCAGCAGAGATAGCAGCAGAGGCAGCAGCAGAGGTGGCAGCAGAGGTGGCAGCAGAGGTGGCAGCAGCAGGGCTGATTCTATAATTATAATATTTAGCGCCTTTTAAAATAACTGCTAGTATGCTATACTGTATTCTGGTTTATAGGTATAGTAAAAAGTACTAAGGGGGGTTGCTCTAGCTAGTGGCATAGACCACTACTATTTAAATAGAGATTCTTAACTGTTTAAATAGGACTACTCTTAGTAAAAGGGTTATTAATTTATAAAATACTTTAATTTAGGTATATATACTCCTAGGGGGGTCTTAAAAACAACTGCGTTTCCTATCTAAGCTCTACTAGGACAGGGGGGCTATTAATTTATAAAAGGTTTATTAATTTATAAAAAAAAAAAGATATATAAGTTATAGTGCTAATACTATATAAATAAAGGTATCTTAGTTTAAATTAATAAATTTAATAATTTTATAATAATTAAACGCAACTATAGCTTAAGTGTAAGTATTATAATAAAAAAACAGCAGTATTATGCTTTATAGCTAGGCAAGCTTATTATAGCTATTATTATAGCTTTTAACCTTATTACTGCTATTAACCTTATTACTGCTATTAACCTTATTACTGCTATTAACCTTATTACTGCCCTTAATCTTAATAAGCATAAATTTAAGTAATAGAGTATTAAAGCTATATTCCTTTATTATTTTAAGGCCATTAGCTTTATATAACATCTCCTTATAGTTAACAGCCCTTTAATTATATTCTAATATAATATAATTAACAGCTTTCTTAATAATCTCCTTATTATAGTCCTTTAGCTATAGTATTAGCAGCTTTTAGCTATTATAAAAATAGCCTTAAAAGTTAAGCTTATAATAAAGATAATAGCAGTTATAGATTTATTTATTATTATTAAGTAAGGCGTAATAATTAATCTAGACTACTTATTTAATGCTAGTAAGTTACTTAGGCATGTAAAGATATTATTAATAAGGCAGATAGCTATAATTACTACTTAAATAATAGCCTTAACCTTCTTTAGCTAATAATAAAGGAAAGGAACCTTATTATAAGCTTTTTTATTATATATTTATACTACCTCTTCTTTTTATACTGCTTATTTATTATAATTATTTTTAATAAGTTAAAGTCTTATATTATTAATGCTAATTAAGCTGTATTTTACTATAATTAATATAGCCTAAAATAAACTTAATTTTTTAATATTCTTCTCTTTTAAATGCCTTATCTTAGCTATTATTATAATGCTATTTAAGGCTAGTATATATAAGGCTTTCCTTCCTTTCTTAAATATATATAATACTAATAGTATTAGCAGTACTTTTAAAATAATAAAGGCTTTAAGGCAATATTAAATATAGTTATAATAATAATTTATTATATAGATATAAAGCTGCAGTATTAAGGCTAATTGCTATTTAAATTATAGTTATACTAGTGTTTTTAGTATTATTTTTTATAGTCTTTTTATAGTAAGGCTAGAGGAAGAACTTTTTAATAATAATAGCTGTAATAATTCTAAGGCACTATTAAGATTAATATAGCTAGTAATACTATCTTTATTAACTTTTTTAATTAAGGAAGAGAGCGTATTTTGCAGCTAATTAAGGATAATAGCAGGGTTAAATAAGAAAAGCCTAGTCTGCTTTTAAGTAGTAAGAATTATATGCTTTTTAAATATTTAGTTATATATCTTTTAAAGGTAGAATAGGAAGTTAGTTTTATTAAAGTTAATAGCCCTGTTAGTAACTTTATAATATAAGATCTTTTAATACTAATGTTTATAAGACTAAAAAACACTAATATTAAGGGGTTAAAGATAATAAGTAAGATATAAAGGCAAGGGGAAAAGCTTAATTTTATATTAAGCTATAAAATAAATAAATTTACTTATAAAATAATTCTTATAGCTATTTATTAATAAGACTTATATTTTTATTAAATTAGCTAGTTATATATATTTTTTAAAGTATTAAAGCTATTTTAAAGCTATAATATTAGTAATATAACCTTTTAGACTTATAGCTAGTATTATACTGCTTTTAAGGCTATTCTTAAACTATTTTATTAGCAGCTAGACTTTAAAAAAGATAATAAAAAAAGGAATAGTATTACCTTTAGCTAAAATTACCTTAATAGCAGTAATAAATATAATATTATAAAGATTAGTTAAAACTAGGTTATTAATTAAAATAGAAGTTTATAAGAGTATTTTAGTAAGAAAATACCTTATTATAAAGCCAGTCTTATTAAAATTTTATATATTCCTCTTCCTTACCTTATATTTTATTAAAAACTGTCTTTAAGTATAAAAAAATAATTTAATAGTATTATAATCTTATATAGCCTTGCATTTTATATTATAAAATATAAACTTATAAATATAAAAGTCCTGCTTTAAATACTGTATAAATCTTATTATTTAAGAGTATAAGACTGTCTTTATTACTTTTTTAGCAGTAAGGATAGTATTACTATAATACTATAAGGCCTAGAGTTAATTATAATGCCTTTAGATTATATAGTAATAGGCCTAGATAAGTATTTTACATTCTTTTTTAAGTTATAGTAATATATAGTTGCCTTTATTAAGTAATTATAAATAGGCTTTTTTTAATTAATTATAAAGTCTAGAATAAGGAACTTAAAAAGCCCTAGCTATAATAGTTATAGTAAAATAATAACCTTCTTAATATAGCTTAGCTACTATAATAGTATATTCCTTAAGTGTTTTAATATTATAATATATAAAAATAAGTAAATTTATTTTTAGGTTAATTTAATAATTTTAAGTATAATAGCAAGGCTTTAAAGAGTTTATTAATATAGAAATAATTAAAATTAGTTAAGATTTAATAAAGTTATAGTAAAAAGAAGATATAGCTTATAGGTAGCTATTATTATAATTATAAAGTTAATGTATTAGTGTTATAATTATACCTTACTTTTTTATAATTTTAGCAGGATAATTATAAAGATAAAGGAAGTATATAAGAAAATATAAGTACCTATATTTATATAGCATTAGTATTATAAATAATATATCTTTTTTTTATAAATTAATAGACCTTTTATAAATTAACAGCCCCCCTATCCTAGTAAAGCTTAAATAGGAAATGCGGTTATTTTTAAGACCCCCCTAGTATATAACTTAAGGTACTAATTTAATAACTTATTACTCCTATACTTAAAAAAGCTAATTTATATAAATTTAAAATTACTTTAACTTAAAAAGCAGCTTAATAATATTTTTATAATCTTAATTATAAATTTAAAAGTCTTTATAATACCTTTTATTATATAGTATATAATACTTTAACTTATATATCTTTCTTTTATAAATTAATAAACCTTTTACTAATTAATATAGCCCTTATTTTAGTAAAGCTAGAATAAGAAATACAGTTATTTTTAAAACTCCCTTAGTAATAGTATTAACTAACTATAGCTATAATGCCTTTAAATATTAATCCTAGCCTAGATCTTTTATAAAATTATATATATTACTTTATAGCCTTTCTTATAGCTATATTATTTTTTAAAAGAGTAATTTTATTTAAACTACAGTATATTCCTATTTAAAATATAGTAGTCTATGCCTATATTAAAATTATTATACTTATACTACTAGTCCTAAAGCTATATACCTATTTATAGTATAAGCTAATAGTATATCCTATAGCCTATATAATAATACTATAAATAACAGTATTATAATCTTTAATACTATAGACCCTTTACCTTATTTATTATAACTGCTATTACCTTAAGGCTAAAGCTATAACTGCAGCAGAAGCAGCAGCAGAGGCAGCAGTAGCAGGGCCTCCTTACAGTTATCTATAGGTCTAAGTTGCGGCCAGCTACTAACGCAGAGATTATAAGCAACCTAGCGACAGTTAGATGCCGCTGCTGTCCCTTCTAGTAATATCTCCTTAACAGTAATAACCGCTAGTATGCTATACTGTATTTTTCTATGCAGGCATAGACTTTACTACTTAGGGGTGTCTCTCTAGCTATTATATAGACCACTATAGTTTAAATAGGAATATACTATAGTTTAAATAGGATTACTCTTTTAAAAATTAAAAGCTAGTAAGGCCCTTAATAAAAAAGATATTTATTTATAGTAATAGCTAAAGCAGCTTTTAATAAATTTCCTAGCTAAATATTATAAAAACTTTGTTAATCTTATCTTTTAAAATTATAAAAAGCCTTTCCTTTATTTATATAATTTAAATATTATTTAAAACCTTTATAATTAATTAAGAATATTAAGAAATAGTAAGTTACTAGTCTTAATAAGCCTTTAGGCTAATAATAAAAATAAAAATAAAAAGAAAGAGATACTAGCTTTATTATAAACTAGGTCCTAAGTAACTTAATAACTTTATTAGCATGCCTTAATATACTATTTAAATTTATTTATATAGTAAGTCTTATTATAATATAAGATATAAGGCAGCAGCGCCTTACTTTTATTATTACTTTAAGGCTAAGGATATAGCTAAGGCTATAATAGTAATAAAATAATCTTAATAAACTAGCCTAGCTATATTATATATATATTTAATAAGAAAATAAAAAAATGCTATTTTTAAATAAATTAGCCTATATAAATTACCTTATCTTAACCTTTACACCCTTCTCTTAATAATATCTCCTTAATAATAATAAATACTAGTATATTATACTATATTTTAATATAAGTATATAAATAATTATACTTAAGGGGTTAGCCTAGCTAGTAGTATAAACTATTATAATTTAAATAGGAATATGCTATAGTTTAAATAAGAGGACTTTATTTTAATATATAAGCATAGGGTCTATACCTTATTACTTAAGGGTATACCCCTAGCTATAGTATAAACTACTATAGTTTAAATAAGAATATATTATAATTTAAATAGGACTACTTAAGTTATAATAATACTTAATATAGTATTATAAGACATAATTAGCTAAAAGGAGATACTTAGCTTATTTATACTTAATAAGTCCTTTTATTTATACTATAGTATATTTTTATTTAAACTAGAGTAGTTTATATATAAGGTAAAATTTCTATATATATATACTATTAAGTCTATTACTATACACCTGCTTATAATATAAAGTAATAGCAGGCTTATCTTTATATAATAAGGCTATAGCTTTTATCTTTAATTATTACAGCTAGCTACCTAATTATAGTATAAAACTAATAGAAGCACTTATTATAATCCTAAAATAAAGAAGAGTAATCCTATTTAAACTATAGCATATTCCTATTTAAACTATAGTGGTTTATGCCTATACTAAAATTATTATACTTACACTACTAGTCTTAAAGCTGCATACCTATATATAGTATAAGCTAATAGTATATCCTATAACCTATATAATAACACTATAAATAACAGTATTATAATCTTTAATACTATATACCCTCTGCCTTTATTATTATAACTGCCATTACCCTAGGCTAAAGCCATAACTACAGCAGCAGTAGCAGCAGAGGCAGCAGCAGCAGGGCCTTCTTACAGTTATTTATAAGTCTAAGTTGCAGCCAGCTATCTGTACCTACGTAAAGATTATAAGCAACCCGGCAACGGTTAGAAGCTAATGCCGCTGCTATCCCTTCTAGTAATATCCTTAACAGTAATAACCGCTAGTATACTATACTGTATTTTGCTATGCAGGCATAGACCTTACCACTTAGGGATATCTCTCTAGCTATTGCATAGACCACTATAGTTCAAATAGGAATATGCTATGGTTTAAATAGGATTACTTATAAAGAAAGTAGCTATAGTAGTAAAGGCAGTAATAAAAGCAGTAATATAGGCAGTAATAAAGGCAGTAATAATAGCAGTACTAGGGGGGTCTTAAAAGCAACTGTATTCTTTATAATAGTAAGACTATTATAAAGGGGTTATTAAGTTATAAAAGGACTATTAATTTATAAAAAAAAAAGATATATTACTTATAGTATATATACTATATAATATAATATACCTTAATAACCACTAATCTTATAATTTTTAAAGTAAAAAGACTACTAGGCTGCTTTTTATTATAAGGCAATACTAGATTTAAGTAAAATAGCTTTTTTTAAAGTAGAAATAATAGTTTTAAAAATTAATACTTTAGTATATATAGTATATATATTAAAATTAAAGTATTTTATAAATTAATAACCTTTTTATAAATTAATATGCCCCTTATTTTAGTAGGGCTAGGATAGGAAATGCAGTTGTTTTTAAGACCCCCCTAGTAATAAAGGTACTAGGGGGGTCTTAAAAACAACCACAGTCCCTATAATAGCTCCACTATTACAGGGGGGTCATTAATTTATAAAAGGGTTATTAATTTGCAAAAAAATTAGTACCTTAATTTAAGTAGGCATGCTATATAAATAGAGGTACCACGCAGGCTTAGGAATTTAGCTTTTTATAATAAAATAACCTATTTTTATAAACCAGTATATTAGAAAATATAATTACAGTAAGATTTTCTTTTAATTAGGAAGAAAAATATAGTGTAAAATATAAGTACTTTTATTTATATAGTAGGCATACCTAAATCTAGGTATTTTGCAAATTAATAACCCTTTTATAAATTAATAACCCTTTTATAATAGTAGAGCTATTATAGGGATTATAGTTATTTTTAAGACCCCCCTAGTAGTAAATACCTTAGTATTAATTTTATATGCCTTTTACTTTATAATATCTTCTTAATAGTAATAACTTCTAGTATATAATACTATACTATAGTATATAGGTATAAGATATTTTATTTAAGGGGTTAGTTTAGCTAATAGTATAAACTACTATAGTTTAAATAAAAATATACTATAGTATAAATAAAAGGACTTATACTTAATAATCTTATACTACTATATATTAAAATAAGTAATAAGCCTAGCTTAAGCTATTTTATAGTCTTTTTTAATATTAGTATAAATAATTAATTACTAGGCTTATTTAAAGCTATTCTTATTATCTTTATAAAAAGATTTAATACTTAATAATACTGCTGCTTATATAAGGCTAGGGTTATTAAGCTTATTAGTATTAAGGTTAATAGTAAAGCTGCTTATAAAAATATTACTACTACTAGCCTTATTACTATTAGTAGCTTTATCTTTAAGGTCTTTTTACTATAAGGTTATTTTTATATTAATATTTATATTAATATAAAAAAGGCATAGCTACTACTATATACTAAAAAAGAGAGTAATTTTATTTAAACTATAGTATATTCCTATTTAAATTATAATAATTTATGCCTATATTAAAATTATTATGCTTATACTACTTATTTTAAAGCTGCATACCTATATATAGTATAAGCTAATAGTATATCCTATAGCCTATATAATAACACTATAAATAACAGTATTATAATCTTTAATATTATAGACTATTTACCTTTATTATTATAACTGCTATTACCTTAAGGCTAGAGCTATAACTATAGTAAAGGCAGTAGTAGCAGGGCCTCCTTATAATTATTTATAAGTCTAAGTTACAGCTAGCTATATAAAGATTATAAGTAACCTAGTAATAATTAGAAGCTTATACTACTGCTATCCCTTTTAATAATATCTCCTTAATAGTAATAACTGCTAGTATGCTATATTATATTTTACTATATAGGTATAGACCTTACTACTTAAGGGTGTCTCTCTAGCTGCTATATAAACTACTATAGTTTAAATAAGAATATGCTATAGTTTAAATAGGATTACTTTAAAAAGATAAACTTAATAGCATTTTTTAATATATTTTCCTTATTTATAATAATAACTTAGAGTATTACTAGGGGGGCTGTATAAAATTGCTAGGGGGGCTGTAACTAGCCTAAATAGGCTTAGTAAAGGTCTTTGCACAGGGACCCACAGAAACCTCTTCTAACTTTAAAAATATATAATTAATTCTAGAAAAATGCTATAAAGAAAAAGAATATATCTTTAAAAAGCTTATTAAATAAACTAATATATTCTAGCTAAAAATCTTATTTATACTTAATAAAGGCTTAAAAAAACTAAGTTTAAGTTAAAAGCTGATTTTTAGCTAGATAAATACTTATATAAGCATGCACTTAGTATTTACTAATAGTTTATAAAGCGCTTTTTAATAATATATAAAAAGTTACCTAATTTTATATAAAGTTTATATTAAAAATTAAGCTTAAACTTAGCCTAGGTTTCTACTACTATTATATAGCTTATAAAAATTAATAAAAATATTTTAAAAAATCATATAGTATTTTTAGCTAATAAATTACTTATATATATTTTTATTATATTTTTTTAAATTTTATTATATATAGAAAATGTCTTATAAAAACATAGTGTATAAGAGAAAAAAGTAAGGTACTTAGACTACAGCCCCCCTAGCAATTTTATACAGCCCCCGCAGCAATACTTATAACTTAAGGCAGTAAAATCTTAAGCTAATAGTAAAAGGTATTAAGTTAGTTATATATATATTTATAAGTTAGCTGCTTTCTATTATTTATAAATTTAAAAGTAAAGTTAGTAATAAAATTTTAATTTATTATACTAATTACTTAAAATAAATATATTTTAAATTTATTTATCTTAAAGTAGTCTTATTTAAATAGTTAAAAATCCCTATTTAAATAGTAATAGTTTATACTACTAGCTAGGCTAACCCCTTAAGTATAATTATTTATACACTTATACTAAAATACAGTATAATATATTAATAGTTATTACTATTAAGGAGATATTATTAAGAGAAGGGCATTAAGGTTAAGACTAGGTAATTAAGGCAGGCTAATTTATTTAAAAACAGTATTTTTTTTATTTTTCTTATTAAATATATATATAATTATAACTAGGCTAGTTTATTTTAATTATTTTTAACTGCTAATACTAGCTAAGTAGCTAGGATAATAATAACCTTTTTAATAATATTACTATTAGTATTATTATTATTTAAAGCAGTAGTAATAATAGCTTTTAGTTATTTTTATATTACTTATAATTTTTATATAGCTAGCTGTAATTTAGAATTTATAAATAATTATAAAAGAGTCCTCCTATTTACACTATAACAGATTTCTATTTAAACTGTAGTAGTCTATGCCACCAGCTAGACTAACCCCCTAGGTAGAGTATCCTACACCTAAGCACTAGAATATAGTGTTACACACTGGAAGTTAATACCGTTTAGGAGATATCGTGAGGTAGAGGTCATACAGGATTAACACCAGAGTACCTATCTGCTGCTGCTGCCTCTGCTGCTGCCTCTGCTGCTGCCTCTGCTGCTGCTGCAGCCGCCTCCTTAGTCCTAGGATGATAATATGTGCCGCCGCTAATCTTACGCTGTAATTAGGTGGCCAGCCGCGATAAGGTCGGCTGTGAGGTCGGCTCTAAGGTCAGCTGCAATTATTAAAGAAACTAAAGCCGTGACTTTATGTGGTGTTATTATGTGAAGATAATAAGCCTGCCATTAGCTTACACTATAAGCGGGTATGCAGTAATAGACTTAACAGTGTATGCGCAGGAATTTTACCCTATGCATAAACTACTACAGTTTAAATAGAGATATACTATAGTGCAAATAGGAGGACTCTTATAAAAAAGCCTTACTATTACTATAAGAGTCCTCCTATTTACACTATAGCATATCTCTATTTAAACCATAGTGGTCTATGCATTAGGCAAAATTACTGCGCACACACTGTTAAGTCTATCACTGCACACCTAATTACAGTATAAGCTAATGGCAGGCTTATCTTTATATAACACTACACATAAGGTCACGACTTTAGTACCTTATTTTTAACTATTGCAGCCGACCTTAGAGCCAACCTCAGAGCCGACCTCAGAGCAACCGACCACCTTTTAACAGCGCAAGATTAACGGCAGCGCTTAAAATCGCCATATAACCAAGGAGGTGGCTACAGCAGCAGCAGAGGCAGCAGAGGCAGCAGAGGCAGCAGAGGCAGCAGAGGCAGCAGAGGCAGCAGAGGCAGCAGAGGCAGCAGAGGCAGCAGAGGCAGCAGAGGCAGCAGAGGCAGCAGAGGCAGCAGAGGCAGCAGAGGCAGCAGAGGCAGCAGAGGCAGCAGAGGCAGCAGAGGCAGCAGAGGCAGCAGAGGCAGCAGAGGCAGTAGAGGCAGCAGAGGCAGCAGAGGCAGTAGAGGCAGCAGAGGCAGCAGAGGCAGTAGAGGCAGCAGAGACAGCAGCAGAGGCAGCACTAGCAGATACTCTGGTGTTGATCCTGTGTGACCTCTACCTCACAATATCTCCTTAAACGGTAATGACTTCTAGTGTGTAACACTATATTCTAGTGCTTAGGTGTAGGATATTCTACCTAGGGGGTTAGTCTAGCTGGTGGCATAGACTACTACAGTTTAAATAGAAATCTATTATAGTGTAAATAGGAGGACTCTACTATAATTATATTCTTACTTATATTTTTAAGCCTAGGCTAATAATAAAGGCAAGCTGCTATTACCTTTTATCTTATACTATAATAAGACTTGCTGTATTAAAAGGTTAAGCTAGTGTATTAAAGCTTTTTAATAAAGCTGCTAGTAATAAGGCTGCTAATATAGCTTTATTATTCTCTTTATCTTCCTTTACTTTAAGGGTTACTAGTATAAGTATCTTACTATTATTTAAAAGTTAAGGTTAGCTATAAAGACTTTAAACTATATTAAAATTATATATTTAAAAAAGCAGCTTTTTAAGGTCTTAAAATATAGTTAGTAAAGATTTTATAAAAAATAAGTAGTAATTATACTAATAGCTTAACTAGCTATTATTATAAATAGTAGTTTTTTTTTATAAAAAGCCTTACTATTTTAAAGCTTATTAAAAATAAAGTAGCTGTATAAAAGTCTATACTATTATATAAAGGAATATATATACTTAGGCAGGGAGTCTAGGTTTAGGTTAATATTTAAAGGTATTATAGTTATAGTAAGTTAATACTACTTAACTAAAAGATTAATACTATAATAGCTAATTATTAAAAGGATATCTTTAAGCTAGCTTTATTAAATAAATTACTACTACTACTATATTTATATTCTAGCTATATTATTATAATAGTCTTACTTTTTCTTTTTTATTATAAAAAGGATTATATTATATTCTATTACCCTAGGTAGCTTAATTAAAGCTAGTTACTAGTACCTTTACTAAGTCCTTTATATAGGAAAAAACCTCTTATAAATAAAGGGAAAAACCTATATACTGCATATCTGCTTTAGTAGCAGGCCTAGCCTGCTGCATTTCTATCTATTAGTAGAAGTGCTTAAATAGCATAAAAAATTTCTTAGGTTACCTTTATAAGTAGGCTTAGCCTGCTGTTTTAATATAGGTTAGGGTAGTATAAGGGCTATACAGGTATTTATATATACCTTTAAGGGGGGGGGGGGGTAGGGTCTAGGTCTTAATAGCATTCCTACTAATAGCTAGGTAGTAGTAAATTAAGTTACTAGCTTATAAGGGGGTTTAGGCAGTAGCTAAGGCAGGGGTATAGTAAGTGCTTTTAGTAATTTACCCTAGCTATTTAAGTATTAGGCCTAGGGCTTACTAACTGCTTTTACCTACTAGTCTATATAGCCTTATAAAGTATATCTGCCTTTTATTTCTTCTTACCTTCCTTCTTTTCTTCCTTTCTTTTTTAACCTCCCCCCCCTCCTTTATAAGTTAGCCCTATCTTTTATCCTTACCTTAGCTAGTCCTAGTATAACTGCTAGGCATTAGGCTAGGCTAGCGCTAGTTATTTATTTATTTACTAACTATATATAGTTATCCTACTCCTTAGCTAAACTAACTCTTTATAAGCGCTATCTTCTTAATGCTCTTTTATATTAAGCTTATTCTAGTTTCTTATTACTAATATAGCTCTTATATAAGCTATAAAAAATAAAGGCAAGGGCTAGGCTAACCCCTTAGCCTGCCTTAATACTACTACTGCCCCTGCCTTATACTAAACCTGCACTGCCTAGGCTATTAAGCCAGCCACTCCTTTATCTTTATTAACTCCTATTTCTAATCTCCTTTTTATACTTATACTAGAACTAGCATTTTCCCCTCCCTCTGCTAAAAGCACTTTAAAAAAGAAGGCCACTTAAAAGGGCCCTTTTATAAGCTATCCCTTTAATAAATTAAAGCTAGTAAGTTATTCCCCCTTCTTTAATGCAAGGCTATTACACCCTAGTTTTATATTAATATTACTAATAGCCTTTTAAAACTAGGCTAATTTTATTTTTTATAAGGCTTATAATACTTAAATAAAGAATATACTAGATTTTTTTTATTATTATTAGTTTAATAAGTAATTAAGATAGTACTGCCTTAAAGTTATTTTAGTATTACTAACCTTTAGTAGATATTAAATAAACCTATAAGCCTTATACTATTATAAAGTATAAGTGTATTACTATAAGTATTTATAATATATCTTAAGTAAGGCTAGGCTAACTTTATTTAAGTTAAACCTACTAACTATAGTGCTGCTAAAACTACTACTACTTATACTCTTTAAATTACTAAAAGTAAGGTTTTAGTATATGCCTATCTTATATTTATTTTAAAAAGGTATAGGCTAATAATATATAAAAAGACTAGGTTAATATAAATATACTTATAACTATAATTTATAATAACTAGACTATTTTTAAAAGTAGGCTAGCTAATATTTATCCTTTAACTGCAGATAGTAAGGTATTTATATATATAAAGTAGCCTAATAAGTATATATTTAATTAAATTATAGTAATATATACTTAGGCCTAGACTCTTACTGCTAATAAATAACTATCCTAGGTATTAGCTTAACTTTTAAGTAATACTGCTATAAATAATCTTAAAGTAGGCAAGGTTAAGGCCTTTAAGTAATCTACAGTGCTTAATCCTACCTCTAGCGCTTAATTACTGCTAGGCATGCCTAGCCTTAGCCTAGAGTTAGCTTAAGGCTAGGTATTTACTAGTTTACCTTTAAAGTTATTTTTAATAAAGGGCTTAAAAAAGTAAGTAGCTAAAAAGGCTTAAAAGTAAAATAAAATTATACTAGCCCCTTTATAAAGGAATTTTAATTCTGCAGTTAGTTAAATAATAATTAATTTAATTCTTTAATATTTATTACTTAGTTCTAGCAGTCTTACCTTCTAGTTAAAGGCTTTAAAAAAGCAGCTTAATATTAAGCTATACCTTAGGCTATTTTTTACTTTATTTTATTACTAGTATAGTTACTAAATAAAACTGCTTTAGTTAGCCTAAGCTTAAAAACTATTAAACTATTATAAAGGCAGTTTAAAGGCTATATAATAGTATTTATACCTTATAGTTATAATAAGGCATATATAAAAGGAGGCAGTATTATATTTTATATAGCAGGTATTTTAAAAAGATATAATATTAGGTCTTTAATATAGTGCTATATTAATAAAAAGAGGAGGTAATTTTAAAGATATGTTATTTATAAAGGAACTTATTAAGTCCTATTTTCCTTATTTATAGCTATATAAGGGCAGCGCTTTTATACTTTAGTAAGTTAGTATAGGCCTTAAGTATTTTTTTAAGGCAGAGTTTAATAATTAGCATACTATTACTTAATTTAATAATATAGTAAGGCTGCCTTAAGGCCGCCTTAAATAGGGTTTTCTCCTATCTCTATTACTAGTATTTAATTATTATCTTAAATAGGTAAAGTAGTGCTAGGCATTACTAGTCTTACTACCTTTTATAGTTAAGGCATGGCTTTTTTTAAGGGCTGCAGCGCTTTTAAAGTATACTTACTATAGCGCTGCAGGCTGCTTATACTTTAGCTTTAGTACTAAATATATCTATTTAATAAAGAAAGCTTATTAGCTGCTTATTTATATAAAGGTTTATTAGTAGAACTACTGCTTTTACTTTTAAAGCTTAAACTAAGGTTACTTTATAAGCCTTTATAATTATATAAAGGTATTTATTTTAAAGTTTCCCTAGCTGCTGCACTATACCTTATAGCTAATTTATCTTTTTTATAAGGGTATAAATAATCCTAGCTATATATATAAAGCTACTATATATAGTAATAATATAAAAAAGCCTTATATATTTAATCTAGGCTCTTTATATTAATACTATAAAGATAGTTAAGGTAAATTTTTAATAACCTATTTTTATATAAAGGAACTTAAGGTAGTTTAACTAGATAAGTTTCTTATTAATTTAAATGCCTAAGAACTAGGCAGTTTAATATAATTAGACTATTTTAAGGCTAAGGTAGACTAAAGTAGTATTTATATTTTTAATATATATAAAATATATAAGTTTACTTTTCTTAAATTTAAACTTTACTTTTAACTTATAGGCCTATTTATTATATACTGCTTAGGCAGTCTTAAGCTATTATTAAGTCTTAGCTATAGTTTAATTATAAGCTAGTATATTTATATTATTTATAAAGCCTATAATTATAATACCTAAGACTGCTTTTAGTGCCTTATAAAGCAGAGTAATATAAAGGAAGAAGAGGATAAAAAAGATAAAAAAGCCTTATAGCACTTTAGCCTAAACCCTTAAAGTAGCTAAGATAGCCTTATTAAAGAATAGCTATACTTAGCAGTTATATAAAAAGCTTTAGACTTATTAGACTAAGTAAGGGAAGATAGTAAGCTATTAAAGGGTTTATATAAGTTTATTATAGTATATAGTATTAAAGGCCCCTTATAGGTTTAATTATAATAGTAAGGTAATCTTATATTAATCTTAAATAGTATATATTAGTTTAGTAAAAAGGTATATAGCAGTTTTTATAAATTAAGCTGCTTTATTTTTTATTTAGCTATTAAGGAGGAGCTGCTTTATTTTTACCTTAGCTATAAGCTAGGCAGTAATAATAAATTTTATTATCTTTCTTACTATATTAAAGAGGGAGATAAAGCGCTATATATTAGCTAGTGTTTATTATTTAGCAGTCTTTTTTAATTTCTTAAGTACTATTACTTTAGCAGACTAAAAGCAGCTTAAGTAATATCTAGTTATAAGCTAGGCTATAGCTAGCCTGGCTATTAAGTAAAGGATATACTTACTATAAGCTTTAATAAGCCCTGCAGGTATACTATCCTTATTAAAGGCCTTTTATAAGCCTATCTTCTTAAATGCTTCTTTAACCTTAGCAGAGTTAACTAAGGGGAACTTTATGCCTAGCTTAAGGGTAGCTAATAGAGGGATATATAGGTTAGCTAGGGTAGGAAAGAACTAGGTAGTAAGGATAGTTACTTTAGCTTTATAAAAGCTTGCAGTTTCTAGGTTAGTCTTATTTTATATTATAATAGCAGAAGTAAGGGAGGTTTAAAAAGAAGGCTGCTATATAGCCTAGCCTAGTATTCTAGTTTTTATATCTTTTCTAAGTTATTATAAACTATTAATAAAAGCTGTTTTTAAATACTGCATTTTATACTAGCTATAGCCTAGGTCTAGTTCCTTTCTGCCTTAATTTTATATTTTTATAATTTAGGCATATATTTATTAAAGTAAGCTTATCTAGCCTAGTAGGCCTTATAACTAGCTTATTTTATATCTTTTATTTATTAAAGGGGTTAGCTATATTTATTATTCTTTTATACTAAGGTTAAAAGCTTAATAATATTCTGTAGGTTTTTTATAAGCTAGTTAGTGTATTAATTAATCTATTTTAATATATTAAGCAGTGCGTCTGCTGCCTTAGTGTTAAAGCGGATTTAGGCCTTTACTACTACTATTTTATAATTAAGTTATTTTTAAAGTTAGGCTATAAGGTTAAGGGTCTAAGGGAAGCCCTGCTTTACTTTTACTTAAGTTACTTATAAAATATAGTTAGAGCTAGTTAAATTATAGCTTCTCTTATATATAGCCAGGAGGTTAACGCTAGCCTATATAAGGTTTATTATGCTATCTTAAGCGCTAATAGAGTATTAGATTCTAGTGCTTTTAAAAGTAAGGAGGCTAAGCTACTACTAGGCTGCTAGTAAGGTAAATATATAGCTTTTATAAGTTATATAATTATATTAGTCTTAAAGTAGGTAGTAAAGGTTAAAGTCTCTTAAAAGGATATAATACTGCTATAGCAGTCCTTTTAAAAGCTTAGTAAAGGGGCTAGTTTAAGGGATATTATAAGTAAGTATAAGGGAGTATATAAAGTATACTATAATATTAAGGTTTTAAAAGGTAATACTATACTAGTTATAGTAAGCTTTATATAATTATAACCTAAGGCTATGCTATTTATAAATATAAATTACTACTTAGCTACTGCTATTAACTAAAGTATAATTACTTTAGTTAAGGTATAAGAGGTTATTATAGCTGCTAGTATTATATAAAGTAGCTTAAGGCTCTTAAAAGGTAATTATATTAAAACCTTTTTTATTTATAAAGGCTAAGTAAATAAGCCTTAACACCCTGCCTATATTTTACTAAAGGAACCTTATTATATATAAGTTAAAGATAAGGCAGCTTTATTAAGGCTGCTAGCTAGGCTAAGTAACCTTAATATTAAGGTAAAGAAGTCCTTTTAAGCTTATTTATAATTATTTATAACTATTACTTAAAGAAGGGATAGGTTCTTTTTAAAGCGCTTAATAATAAGCTAGGTAAAAGGTAAGCTAGCTATAGTTAAAGGTAAGGTAAAGGAGAAGGTATTATTTTATTATTATAGTTTTATAAATTGCCTTAGGCGCTATATATAAGCTTCTTAGGCTTAAGTAATATAAGGTTAGACCTTAAAGCAGGATTAAAACTAGGCTAGGTATACTTTAATATAAAAAATATATTTTAATATAATAGCACTATATTCTTTATTTATATATAATACAGCTATATAGCAGCTGCAGTATAAAGCTGCCTTATAAAACTTAGTAATATAGCTAAGTTAAAAGCAGCTATAGTATTAATATAGTTAGATATCTTTTATAAAAGGCTTTATATTAAAGAGTTAGGTATTAAAGACTAGCCTAAGGTTATAAAGCTAGTTAGCTTAATATACTCCTTTAATACTTAAGGTAAGGGTTACTTTTATAGCATTCTTATAGCAGTTTTATTTTACTTTAATATAAATAATTATAATATTATTTTCCTTTTTAAGGGTTTTTTTTAATTTATTATTTTTAAAATTATTTAAGGATATTAAGGGGATCTTTTATACTACTAGTATTTAGGCATATTATAAAAGCCTTACCTTTAGCTTAAATATATCTTAAGTTTAGGTTATATTTTAGCAGTATTTATTAGCTATATTATAAAATATAATAATAATATTATTATTAAAAAGCCAGTATATAGCTATAGTAGTATTAAAGTTAGTAGCTATATTAACTGCTTTAATAGTTTTAGCTAGTATATAGTTTTTAAGTGCTTTAGTAATAAAGGAGCTTATAATTATTACTTTATATTTAAGGCAGGCTAGGACTAGCTTTAAGGGGGGCTTACTAAAGTGCTAGCTTAGTGTATTTATAGCTATATCTACTTAAGTCTTTTTTTAAGGGGGTTAGTCTTTTTTAATAACTTCTTTAATAAGTTCCTTTAGTTCTTTTTTTATAGTTTAAATAGGGGCTATATCCTAGCCTTATATTATAGCTGCGTTTAGTTTATATTAAATAACCTTCTAGACCTCCTTAAAGGCATTGCCTAAGATAAAGAGTATTACTAGGGGGGCACTGGTCTTTTGCTAAGGGGGCACTAGTTAAAGTACCTGAAAATTTTCCTTATAACTCTATAACTTTAAACACTTATAACTAAGCTAAATAAAATTAAAAATTTTTTTTAAAAAATACTATTTTATTAAATAAAGCCTATATATACTTAGAATATTTTTTTAAAATATTTCTAAAGCTATATTAATAATAAAATTTTAAGAGAAACTTAAGCTATATTTAAGTATAGATTTTTTTATAATACTTTAGTATAATTAGGTAACTTTCTATATATTTATATAGCTTATTTATTAAAGATTTATATTTTACTTAATGCATACTTATATAATAGCTACTTACTTAAAAAATACTACTTTAACTTAAAATAAGATTTTTAAGCTTAATATAACTAATAAACTTATATTTTTAGGTTTAATATATATATTTAATATATAAAAAACCTAGAAATTGAATAAAAATCTTAAAACTAATTTTCTAGAATTTTTTATAGATTTTTAAAAATAGAGGAAGTTTCTGTGGGTCTGTAAGCATAGGCCTTTACTATACTAAGTTTAGCTAGTCAGTGCCCCCCTAGTAAAAGACCAGTGCCCCCCTAGTAATACTTAAGATAAATTTTATAATTTTTAAGTATACTAGGTTATTAATAGTCTTAGTAATAACTGCTTTATCCTCTAGCATAGT